CTATTTTGAAAAAGGAAGAGCCACTTGAATTGAAAAAAAATATAGTTGGATTGTTGTGAGAAAAAAAAAATTGCTTGATAAGTGGTGGTTCTTGACGTAAGTGTGCATAAAGAAGAATAGGGTAATTTACATTGATGTGAAGGTGGAATTTTGGTTTGACATAAGTATGGGGTTTAAATGATAAAAAGTATGTATTAAAGTGCTTAGGGAGGTGTAGTCACTCTTATATCTAAATGTATCCTACCCGTCCCGTAGCCTACATTACAACCAAATAAAGTCCTAATTGATCCAAGATTGAATGAGCTCGATTAGTGGAGTAGTACACTACGGGCAAGCTTATGGTGCATCTTTTGTGGCATATGAATGTTATTTCTGAGAGTGAGTGAATTCTTTCTATCTTGAGTTCCTAAGTGTTCTTAAATTTTATGTGGAACTACTCTCTTTTGTTGTGTGAGGGCACTTGATTCATGAAGGAAAGGTAATGTTAGTCACCTCTATATTAGAGTAAGTGGGAGTTGTGAATAACGTGTGGTACTTGTGAGTCAAATCTTGAGGTGAAGATGTTACGCTTTTGTGCTTAGTCTATTTTAAATACTCTTGGTGTGATGAGTTAGGAGAATTGTTTAAAAAGGTCGTGTCTATAAAAAAAAGGAGTTTGATTGCTCGAGGACGAGCAATGGTTTAAGTGTGGGGTGTTGATGATAGGCTATAATTGCATATTTTAGTCGCTTATTACACTCGAATTTACTACACTTTAATTGAGTTTGCGCTTTAATCGCTAGTGTTTTGCACTAATTGTGTGTTTTATGCCTTGTAGGTGTGATTCCGAGCTATATAGATGTTATGGAATGAATTTAAGTGATCTGAAGCTTTGAAGTCTGAGTAAAAGCTCAAGGAATTAAGCTGGAATCGTGTTCGGAGGTCAAATTTGATAATTAAGTACGAACGAAGACTTGAGGAGGCATATTGCGCACTGTTCTAGTAAAATAGACATAAACTTTTGCTCAGAACTCCATTTGGGCTCCACAATATATGGTTGGAAAGCTAACTCAAAGGGCTACAACTTTCATGTTTTACGTTTTTCCAAATTCCAAATGGAACAGGGTGAAAGACTGTGGTTTTGCTGCGACCGCGGCAGAACCGCGGTAGAAGATGGTCGCGGACAACTGAAGAATCAGAGGGCATGTTTGGCCGCGGTTCCACCGCGACCGCGGAAAAACCGCGGCAGGAAGCGAAAATTTCAGGGACTAAAGTGCAAAACATGGGATTTTAAGTCCTAAACCCTATATCAAACAAAGGAGGCCGGCCAAGAACAAAAGGGGACATATTTTGAGACATAGATTCGACCTAAGGAGGCAAGAACACATTGGGAGCAAGGTGGAGAATTCTTCTATGAGTTTTTCCTTCCTCTTCCTATTTTTCATTGTTGATTATGACTTTTAGTATTGTAGTTTTACATACTATTATGAATAGCTAATTTGTTATCTAGAGTTTTGATAGAACCTTTTGTAGGATAAATTCTTGTTATGTTTTTATATAATTGAGCCATAGCTTTTCTCTATTTGTTCAACTATGTTTATATTGTGGTTGGTTGAAGAGCTCTCAATTAGCTGTGCCTATTTAGTATGCATAACTCGGGAGAGAGTGCATATTTAGGTAATTGTTGAACAACACCACTCCCAGAGTATATGAGGGATCAATAACCGAGGGTTTAAAGGTGGGATTAGGGATAACGAAGCCTTGGGTGCGATCTGAAGTGAGCTGTATTAAAAGCCAGCTAGCGTAGCTCGGGAGAGTGCGTCTAGTAAATTGTCGTAATTACTCGGGAGAGATTTACGGTAATAAGAGTGCTCATGATCGGTAGAGAATACTTAGGCGAAATTATAGAAGACATAGCGGGAAGAATTCCGACAATTGGGGAAATCATAACTCTAGACCTCCTTAATCTTTTCTCTAACCCTCAGTATCGTTAGTTGTTAATTTACTATTTTAATTTGTTAATTAAGTAGTTAAACACAAGAATCTTAATATCTATAGGTTAGGAATTGTTCAAGCTTGTCTTCTTGGTGATAGTGAACAGCTGTAGCTAAACCTTAGTTCTCTGTGGGATTCGACTCCGGACTTGTAAACCGGATTATATTTGCAACGACCGCATTGTCCTTTTTATAAGGCATAGTTGGGCGTGATCATGTGTTATAATTGAGTTATATTAGGAGTCTGTTATGTTAATTGATTCACTTTTCGTTTAAAAATAGTGTAATCCCCTGTTTCACGCCGTGAATACAGTCGAATACAATAATCTGTCCGGCTGTAATCCCATGTTTTATGCCATGAATACAGTCAAATACACTCGAATACAACAACTGATTAGCTGGACTTCTTTGATTCACACCTATTTCTGCTACTGTATTCATGAATACAATAGCTTAAATACATCTTATAACAACAGAAAACGTATCTACAATCCACAATATAGCAAATAATATCTATAAATAACTAATTACCACTAAAAGATAGTGCTTTATGAAAATTTCTCTACTAAGAACAGACAAGCCTAAAAGTTAAAGCGACTTATGCTTAGGCCGAAAACAGAGAGACTGGTTATGAAAATGAATTTGCGAGTGAGAAAACAAGTTTATCAAAGTTTATAATTCTAATACTAGGTAAAAGAATATAAGCATTTATTTGAAAATCTTAAGATAGTAGGTAGTATAACATAAGACAAGTACAACAAAACACTGAAATTCTTTACAGTTAATGTGAGATACTATATGTTGCATATCGCTCTCTAACTGAACACATAAACAGGACTTGTGAAAATGTGACAGTGGAAAAGGTAGTATAAGCACTGACCTAAAATTTGGGCAATCTCACATGCATTATTATTGCTGCTAAAAAGCTACTACTAGAACCAAATAGGAGTATATCTCTTTACTTTTCATCAATACTCCTTTTAGTTTCAGAAAAGCTAAATTAAAAAGCTGCTTTTTCACATGGGCAATCTCTTCTTTTAGAGTGTTGATTAGGTTTTGGAACAGCGATTGGTGGTCCATTATGTCGTGTTTGGTAGTTTCAAGTCTCTTGACTTTGAGCAAGAACTTATGACGTTCCTAACCGCTTGTTTGGATGATTGTTACATGTCGTTTCACAATGTATTGTATTGTATTGTTTGTCGTCACGCACAAAAAATATGAAGAATAAACTTGCAACATTACTAAAATAAAATAGAATACGAAGTAGAATTATTATATAAAAAATAGGATAAAAGATAAATATGTTTATTTAATAGTAAAGATGGGCAAAATGCGGGAAAAAAATAAGGTAATAACGCCACCACACCAAATCCGTCGTTACATAAAGTGGCACTTTTGGTCGTTACGTAACGATGAATTTAATGATACAATACAATAAAATATAAGTAATAACCAAAACAAATAAGTATTATATTTAAAGTAACAATTCGATATAATACAATAGGTAACAAACATCCAAACAAGCAGTAAATATTGCCCAGCTCTAACTCGTTGCTAAATCGTTAGTGTCTATGAATAGAGTTGCAGGAAACTAATTGCCAATAAAAGTTTATGCAACAATATTTACTGCCGTCGGTAGCTAAAAACCTATCTTAGGTTACGAATTCCTGTTAATTTCAACTGTGTAATTGCCCCTATGAAAACTGAAAAGTAAAAGAGAACGTAATTACTACATTAGTCATGTCAAATGACTTTCTATGCAAAGGAAAACTACTTTTGGTTGGGTGCTCATTCGAAAATTTTATTTTGTGTCTCATACAACTGATATTAGTTGTATGAGGCATCTTTTTTGTCTCACAGTTTTATGGACCCAGATTTTTGTAAACCCAGGAGTGTAAGATTGGGGTCCACAAATTTATGAGATAAAAAGGAGCCTCACACAACTAATGTAAGTTGTGTGAGACACACAATAAAACTTCTCGTGCTCAGTGGTCACATGGTGTCTAGTAATCAAAAAATTTGACCCTAAAAGATGAAAGATGACCAAATGAAAAATCTCCGAAATATTCTAAAGTAAATTCAACAAAATGACATAAAGAAAATTTCAAGGGAGGTTGTTATTACAAATATAGATCCTCCAGCAATTAATGCCACAAATTCTTTTTTGATGTATTAGATGTATACAGTACATACTAGTATTATTTGAAACTGATCTCAATAAAACAGACGAATAATGAAATTTTGTAATATTTATAATCATATATAAAGAGGATCAGTTTTGAAAAATGCAGATTTGGAAAAGAAATCTTTGAGATTTTCTCATCTTCATTAATACTAATTACATGCACTAATTCTGCTCTTCATAAAATGACACGAAGAAAAGAAGTTAAAAAAGGGGCATGATTGGTAATATTAGTTACCAATTTACCATAGTTCCGCGAAATCAGTTTTGGCGCGCTGTCTTCTTTCACTTCTGAATTACCAGCCTTTTCACGCAGAGGTTTTTTTTTTTTTTTGGGTTAACCATCGTTTGTTCGTTACTTACATTGGGGTCCGACTAAATCCGGACTCATGCCGGAAAGTCTTACATTGAAGGTAAAGCGCTCTCTAACAAAGACGATTCCATACCTAGGGGCTCCACTAGTTAAGGATGAAGGAGTACTTGCCATTCCACCACAACCCTTGTTGGTCCTTTTCACGCAGAGTGACCATTCGGTATTCGCTCAATTAAAAAAGATCTATAGAATTTAATATTGTATGTATCATATTAATAAATATAAAATATATGAGTAAATAATTTTATTTAAGACCTTTAATATAAATTATTTGATTAGATACAAAAATTTGCCTACATAAATACTTTTCCTTCACCAAACTATTGCATTCGCGTGCAATTCCCTGTTCCATATTTCTATGAGAATCTCTCCTCCTTTTCATGAATTGGTACGTATTTACTCTTGCACTTCCAATAACTTTGTTCAATCTTGATTCTCTTCTACGATGAATTATTCTGTTAATTATGTGAGAAAAAATTACCTATGAACATTTCTTAGTGGTAGAGCACACATCAATTTTTAGACTAATGATGGTCTCAATCTTTCTTCTCTCTCATATATCAAACTTTTTCTGGTTTTTGTCTTCTCTTTTTTATAACTAAATGATTCTTTCTCCATGTGTTTCTCCTGTCATTCTTCACATTTTTCTACCATTTTCTTAGAAATTTTAGTTAGTATTCGTATACTTGCAGGTACTTCAACTATTTTTTAACCAATTATTTGATCATTGTGTGTACTCTAAGCTTAAAGATAACTCATTTACTCTATTGGGTCTTTTCTTGAATACATGTTTATTGCTTGTATCTCAGTAGGGTCTTACTCTCATAATTGTTGCTTTGTGGGTCAAATTCCTTTATGTCATTCATTCCTCTCTCTTTGTGATAGTTAACTGTTAAGTTTTCTTGTTGCAGAATCTTTAGTTTTCCCTCTGAAAGCTGTTGAAAAGAGCAATCTTGGACAATTTTCACTTAGAAAAATTCAATCTTTGTGGCTCAAGTTCTCTCTGTATATTGAAAAACTGTTTGTTTAAAATGCCCCCATCATATTTTCCTCTTCGTTGGGAGAGTACAGGAGACCAATGGTGGTATGCTTCACCAATTGATTATGCAGCTGCTAATGGTCATTATGATTTGGTCCGTGAGCTTCTTAGATTAGATGGTAATCATCTTATTAAGCTCACTTCACTACGTAGGATTAGAAGGCTTGAATCTGTTTGGGATGATGAAGAACAGTTTGATGACGTGGCAAGATGCCGGTCACAAGTTGCAAGAAAATTGATGCTTGAATGTGATACTAAGAAAGGAAAAAATTCCCTACTTAAAGCTGGTTATGGTGGATGGCTTTTATATACTGCTGCCTCTGCTGGAGACTTGGTTTTTGTTCAAGAATTGTTAGAAAGGAACTCACTTTTGGTTTTTGGAGAAGGGGAATATGGTGTTACTGATATATTATATGCTGCTGCTAGGAGTAAAAGTTGTGATCTTTTTAGGGTTCTGTTTGATTTTGCTGTATCACCGAGGTTTTTGGCGCGTGATTATGGGGGAGAGTTGGATAATAAGCATATAGGTGAGGTTCCATCTGCTTATAAATGGGAGATGATGAATAGAGGAATTCATGCAGCTGCTAGAGGAGGAAATCTGCAGGTATTAAAGGAGCTTCTTGCTGATTGTTGTGATGATATTTTGACTTATAGAGATATTCAGGGCGCGACGCCATTGCATGCAGCTGCTGGAAAGGGCCAAGTTGAGGTATGGCTTGCTTTTCTTGTGTACTAAATTCAGCATTTTGCATTATATGTTCATTATATGTATGAGAAGATAACTGCTTAGTACAACTTTCTACCATTGATTGTATGAGCCTCTATGAGGCTCTTGTTCTAGCTGCTTTATCGAGTCATTCTTAATTTGAGGCTTTGACATGAGAAAACTATTCTTATAATGTTATACTGTATGTTAGTAGAGTGTTGTAGAACTTTGACAATCATCTATTTTGCCTTACTGCTTCATAGAGTCTTGATTAGTTAATATGTCTACTTGTGATTTCCAATTCAAGACGCGATATATCAAACTGATATGATCAATTGTGTAATTGACTTACAATTTACGAGGGTTTTGTTTAAATAGTGATTCACATTTCTACGTGGTGCGAAAATTAACTTTTCTTTACACTGATGTTTGCTTTTGGTCAGGGTTTACCTACGTCATTAAAACAGTAAAAAGATGAGTTGAATTTTTGGATCATATTATCATCTAATAATAAATGGTTGGCTTCTCATTTGGTGTTACCTCTCTTTTCTGTGTTTCTCATGTTGGAAGAATACCTTTAGAACAAGCTTTGATGTTGTAATTGATGTGATCAGGAAATCTTGTGTATTTGAAAGAGCTAATATTAATGTTAGCAATTAGGTTAATATTTGTTTAGTGTCTAATTCAGTATGTTCATGGTTTCAGGTTGTCAAACATCTTATAAAATGTTTTGATATTATCAACTCCACAGACAATCAAGGCAACACCGCATTACATATTGCTGCTTCTAGGGGCCAATTAGCTGTTGTTGAAGCTTTAATTGTTGCATTGCCCTCGTTGGTCTGTTTAAGAAACAATGCTGGCGAAACATTTCTCCATGTCGCAATTACTGGTTTCGAAACTCCTTGTTTCCGTAGATTGGACCATCAAATCCAGCTCATGAAGCAGTTAGTTTGTGGGAAGTTTTTCAACGTTGAAGAAATTGTTAATGCTGAAAATAATGATGGTAGAACCGCGCTTCATTTGGCTGTCATTGGAAACATTCATTCTGAACTTGTGGAATTACTAATGACTGTTCCTGCTGTTAATGTCAACACTCGCGATAAGGATGGAATGACACCACTTGATATCCTCAGGCAACGGCCACATTCTGCTTCATCAGAACTCCTTACGAAACAGTTGATTTCTGCTGGAGGAATTTTAAGTCATCGCGATTATTCAGCAAGGAGAGTCGTAGCATCACACTTAAAAATGCAAAACATAGGTAGCAGTCCGGGCACTTCATTCAGACTATCTGACACTGAAATATTCTTATACACTGGGATTGAGCGCGATGGCTATGAAAGCTCAGAGCTGAGCATCCCAACAGAACAAAGTCAACACAATGTGAGTACTGAAACTTGTCCTAGAAATGGGTGTAAACCAAGTTCTGCAAATAATGCTGCACAAAGGCTGAAACGCTTTTTCCATTGGCCAAAAATAAGAAAAGGAGACAAGAAATTTGTGGATCGTAGTTCTGCTATAAATGCAGAAGCAGCACCAGTTCCTCTTCGACAAAGATTCTCCAAGCCTTCATCTCTTCCAAACAACAAACGGACACTCTCCGTTAGGAGTAATGTTCCAAGTCCAACAGCGAAAAAGAAACTTGCTTCGGGGCTAGTAAATGGTGTTATGTTGGCTATACCACATCTTAGTGTCCGCCGTAGATCATCTTGCTCTAGTTCATTCTCAGTTTCATCAATATCTTCACATACTTCTTTGGATCAACAAAAAGCCACCCAAATTGAGAATGCGCTTGCTAGAGCTTCTTGTTCTAACCACGTACGAGCTAAATCATCAGATTCGACGTTCAAACACATCACTGGAAACAAAAGCTTGGTGAACCAATACTTGTGTTTTGGTACTTCAGAACAAACTGTCAAAGCTACTTCAAGTAGGCTGCAGCCATATGAAATTTATGAGCGTTCTGTTCTATCCACAGCTTGATCTTTTAGACTGAGACTTCAGTAATTTGGCTGGTTCAAGAGCTCTTAGTTTCATCCTTGATAAATCTACATTTCCACATAGTTTAGTAGTAGCTACTAAAATTTCCATGTAGCAGTCTCTTGGCTCTAGTAATGTAAATATGTTTGATGTTTTAATTACATTGTGTGACTCCTCTATGAGTTGTAACTTAAAGAAATTTCCTAGACCTTTAGAACTGATTTATGAAGCTTTCTTAGTTGTGTGCAAGTTGTCCTTGAATATTTGGCTTCTTTTACGTGATTTTAATCAGAGCGTTTTTGAGATTATGCCCATGACTGAAACTAACTATGTTATCAATACCTTTTAAGAATAAAGCGCTAAATCCACAAAATATTTTGGTTTGCCTAACGTTTGTTGAGATTGGGGTGTAAGGTGTAACAGTAATGCATCTTTCTTCGTAGTCCACTCTGGTATCTGGGCCCGAATTTGGGCTTTTGATCTACATTGTTCATCGTGGTGCCTAAAAGATGGGGGATTTTCAGCCTTACCCTATATTTGTGCCACATTTTAACCTGTGTCATATTTTTAAAAATTATTAATTTGGTAGCAAGCTGACAAAAAATTCGTAATAACATGACAATTACACCCCTAGCAAAAGATATAAAACCTGCATCACTCATTAATCGCGTGATTTGCAACCTCATTTGTGAAAAAAGATCTCCTCCTCTTCTCTCAACAGCTTTATCAAAAAATCAGAAACTTGTCTAGATTCATCTCAGAATCACACTTGCATGAAGTTGTTTCACGTTGACATTGAACCTAAAACTTCATGCTAATGCATGCTGCAGTTATTTATCATGCAGTCTACAGTTTTGTCATGAGTTTTATCCGAAACTTCAATCTAAACATACTGAAGTTCTTTAGTTCATTTGCTAAAACTTCAGACTAAACATGCTTAAGTTTTTTAGTTCATTTGCTAAAACTTCAGACTAAACATGCTTAAGTTTTTGTCTTGCAGTATGTAATTTTCTAAAGATTTTTTTCTAATGCATGCTGAAGTTTTATAGTTCATTTGCTAAAGCTTCATACCAGAACATGCTAAAGTTTCGTAAAGCAGTCTACAGTTTTGTCCTGAGTTTTATTTGAAACTTCAGTCTAAACAAGCTGAAGATTTTTAATTTATTTGCTAAAACTTCAGCCTAAACATGCTTAAGTTTTGTCCTGCAGTTTGTCAATAGTCTTTTATTAAAAAATGGCAAAATCGTATTTTTAAAATGCTTTTAACAAAAAAATGGGTACGAATGCAAACGAAAAAGCAAAACGGGTATAAGTTAAAAAAGGACGACCAAATAAGGCGTCCTATGCACTTTTTATCTAAAGGATTGGGGAAATGCAGATATACCCGATCTTGGGACTACTACTGGACTTATACTCGCAATACACAAAAATTTATAATTTTAACCACTTTGGAACACACTTCCAAAAACTTGTGTATGAAGTTAGAAATTTTGAATAGTTTCACGTCTGAAGTTCTCGTCGTGACAGCATAAACTTCATACGCGGATATATAAATTTTGGGTAATGTTTGTGTCACCATCCAAAATCCACTAAGGGTCGTGATGACGTCGGACACTGCTGTCAGGCAAGCCAACTAAAATACTTAATTAGATTCCAATTTAGACAATTTTGAAAACCCAGATTTTTCCTTCTAATTTCGTAAGTAAAGAGGCAACTGCTTCAATTCAAATTAAATAACAAGCAATTAATACAAAATATTACAAAACCATCCCAGAACCCGGTGTCACAAGTGCATGAGCAATTTCTAAGAAATGATATAATACAACATCCGTCCTAAATACGGTGGACAGAAAGTAAATACAATATACTGGAAGAGACTATACTAGCTGCGGGCCGCCTCGAATAATGCAACTCACCTAGTCCCCGAATCATCTGTGCTGCTACGCCCAGTAGGCCACTAGAGTTACATATACCTGTGCAACAAAATTACACAGAAGTGTAGTATGAGTACGAAAATAACGTGTACTCAATGAGTATCCCATCTAATCTCGAAGAAGTAGAGACGAGATGGTCAACTTCGACACTTACTAGTGGTCCAATAATAATGTCAATAATTCATTAAATCGTGGACTCTTATAAACATGATTTTTAATCCAATAGGAGAAAACATGTAAACAATTATTTCTTTTATAGGAAGTTTCCCAAAATTTCCTTTTCATTATTTATCCAAATGTTCTCAAGCCATGAAGAGACAATAACAACTTCAATAAGTTCAAGGCAGCAATACAAGCATGCGCAAATCATGCCGAGGCGTACGACCCGCTCCAACAGAAAATAAAATGTGCACTGCCGAGGGTCGAACGATGCGAACCATAGATGCATCTATTACCCCGCTCGCGAACTATCCTGCGACGCGGTCAACATAAAATAAACAAATACCCTGCTCGCGAATCATACATGCTACGCAGGTACACATAGAAATACAAGCTCAAATGGCCAATTGCGAATTTATCAGGGAACATTTATCCAAATAAAGGCTAATTCCCTTTTAACGATTTAAGAAAAATGAAGTTTAATCCTTTTAGAAATTCATTTACTAATTCAATGTGCTTAAGCAATTCAAGCTATCAATAGGTTCACAAATAATCCAAGTATAGCATGCTTTTGGGTCCTAACTACCCGAACAATAGCATAATAGTAGCTACGCACGGACTCTCGCTACCTCGTGCGTACGTAGCCCCTACAAATAGGAGCACATAATCAATTATTCCACCTATGGGGACAATTCCCTCTTACAAGGTTAGAAAGGAGACTCACCTCGCTCCGAAGATCCATAACCGGCATTCCAAGCCCTTCCGAAGACTCGAATCGATGCACAACGCTCCAAAACTAGTCAATAATTATGTAAACACATTAATATATGCTAAGGTACTCATTATAATCCAATTTATAACAATTCCTAACCCCGATCTAAGAGTTGACAAAAATGCCCTCGGGCCCACGTGCCCGGATTCCGAAATTTCTCGAAGATAAAGTTTACCCATAAACTCACGAACTCAAATATATAATTTTCTCTTAATTCCATCCCCAAAATCGTGGTTAAATTCCAAGAATGCTAGTTTTCTAGGTTTTCCCTCAAACCCCAAGTTTTCTATAAATTTCATGCTCAAATCCATACATAATTGATGTATTTAACTCAAAATAGGTGGGATTAGCTTACCTTATCATTGATGATGAAAATCTCCACTTGAAGCTCTCCAAAATTGCCCATACCAAGAGAAAAATGGGTGAAATGAACTCAAACCCTGATTTTAAAACACCCTTCTGCCTCCAGCAATTTCCGCACCTGTGGTCCTATGACCGCTTCTGCGGTTCCGCAGGTGCGGCCACTCTACCGCATCTGCGGTCCTTCCCAGGCCCCCTTATTTCCGTTTCTGCGACTTCTCCACCGCAGGTGCGGTCCCGCATCTGCGAAAATATGACCGCATCTGCGGTCCCTTCTCTTCTAGCCCAAAACCGCATCTACGGCTCCTTTGGCCGCTTTTGCGGCTCCGCACCTGCGGCCCAATTCTCGCAGGTGCGGTTATGACAGCAACTAGCCAGTTCAGCCTTCCAAAAATTCAGTTTTCGATCCGTTAACCACCCGGAATTCACCCAAGGCCCCCCGGGACCCCAACCAATCATACCAACCAGTCCCAAAACACGTTACGGACTTGCTCGAGGCCTCAAATCATATCAAACAACGCTAAAACCACGAATCGACCTCCAATCCAAGCTTTATGGACTTTAGAATTTCAAACTTCTATTTTTGATGTTAAAACCTATCAAATCACGTCCGATTGACTTCAAATTTTGCACGCAAGTCATATTTGACATTACGGACCTACTCCAACTTCCGGAATCGGATTCCGACCCCGATATCAAAAAGTCCACTTCCGGTCAAACTTCTCAAAAACCTTCAAATTTCTATCTTTAGCCAAATGACTCCAAAATGACCTACGGATCTCCGAATTCACTTACGATCGCGCTCCCAACTCCAGAATCACCATACGGAGCTATTCACAGACTCGGAATCCCCAACGGACATCGATAGTACTGAAATGCACTTCAAGCCAAACTTATTAAATTTCTTCAAAAATGCTAACTTCCACAATAGGCGCCAAAACGCTCCCGGATTATCCAAAACTCAAACCGGGCATACGCCAAATCCGAAATCATCATACGAACCTGCTGGAACCTTCAAATCCCGATTCCGAGGTCGTTTACTCAAAAATCCAATCCTAGTTAATTCTTTCAACTTTAAGCTTCCAAAATGAGAATTCTCTTCCCAAATCAACTCCGAATTTCCCGAAATTCAATTCCGACCACGCGTACAAGTCATAACACCTGAAATGAAGCTGCCCATGGCCTCAGACTGCTGAACGATGCGCTAGGGCCCAAAACGACCGGTCGGATCGTTACATTATTTGCGTCTGGAGTTCTCCCTCCAACAATGCCAGCTTCAGACAATTATGTCTAAAATTATGTACTATAAACTTTAAATTGCAAAATTGCACCTAAGATGTACCTAAAACTACTTAGTCCGAAGTGCAGTCAATCTTTTTCATGTAGTTAAGACGTTTTCATCTGAAGTTCACAGTGCTAGAAACAGAAACTTGTTCGTTGGGCTTTAACAATCTGACACACGATTCAATAGCCAAATAAACTCCAAATGAGCTCAAATATGAAACAACACTTCCAAATATTATAATGAATAAACTCCAATCATCATTTTGTCAAAACAATAATCATCATTTTGTCAAAACAATAATAAATCTAAAACAAAATTTTAAATATGATAAAGAACAAATCTTAATCATCAATTTGTCAAAACAACCACAAATCTAACGAAAGTATTTTGTCATCTTTAAAAATCTTTCTCTTTAATCGTACTATTGTGTTGGCTTTATAACATGATAGTAAATCAGTTGTACCGATAACACCCATTAGAACCAAAGTTATCCATTACAAGAATTTACACCAAGAAATAAATGATGAAGTATTACTATTTACCCTAAAATTGGATAACAATTGAATTTATACGTGGTTTTAAGGACACGTGATATAACTTGATACAAATAGAGAAGAATAAATTAGTATTGAAAAAGACAATTAAAGAGTAAATGCAAACTACACAAATTATAGAGACTTTGCCCTGGAGTTCGGTCACCCTTGAACCAAATATGTATCAACTAGCTTAAGAATAGAATAACAAGACAATGATAAATAGAGAGCGACAATATATTTCTTTGTATTGCATGAATATGATGTGTTTACAAATGATCGAACTCCCATTTATATATTAGGGAAGTCCTACTCTAAGTACAAATCTATATGAGGTAAGAAATCCCATGATTGGCTAATTAATCGGCCTTGTCTTGATACGTGCCGGAATTCGCGTCGTGATCCTCGCCCGATTGCGGATATTTTGTCTTTCCGTTATTCGATTGGTAAGCTTCCCTCGATATCCATCTTGTTCGGTCTCGATCTTGGTCGACCTGGATCTTGGTCGATCTCGATCTTAATCGGCCTCAGTCTTAATCGGTCCCAGGGCCACAAGCTCGTCTGCTTAACTTTGCATCATAGTTCGATATAAATTGAGGCTGAACCTTGTCTTATAGCGCTCCAGTCTCGATCAGTCACATAGAAAGAGCAACCCCGAATTCGACGGTATACAGATAGTCCCCTCGTTTCTCGGAGAGAAGACGACGAGAAACGACATGAATTTTTCCAATCCCGTCTCGATATGCCATGACGTAAGCGACGAGCTCGATTATGATGTTAGCGACAAGTGGGTATTAAAACATCCTGTCGGTTCAGTTACCGAGGCATTAAATGCCTGTCAGTTGCTGGTCGGCCACCATTGGATCAGAACCGCCACTAGCAAGCTATAAGTACCGCCACCTTCTTCCACTTAAACTTTTATGCTCAGAATTTCCCTCGTTATTGCTTCTCTTCAAAAAATCTCTTTGCTCTGCTACTCTTTCTCCCAAATTTCTTGAATCCCAAGCAAATTGGGCATCACCCTAATTCCCTTCTCTTCTACTTTAGAATGGCAAAAACTTCTAAAACATTACCCCAAAAGGGGATCGCCTCTTTTTCACGGTCCGTCGGCGACGGAGCTATGGCGGAGCCTCCCCTTGAAGATTTTGGTTCCGGGAGGGTGCCCTACGTCACCGATTTTAGGATTGGAAACACCTCCTCAGTACCTGGTCGTTTTGAACCGGTCTCGAGGTACATATGTATCATAACAGATGATCACCTTGACAAAGTTAAAGAGGAGTGCCACTGGGTCGATAAACATGTTGTGGCACCTTCGTCTGAGGACTCGATCACTACCCATGTGGAGGGTTTCCTAAGTGTTTACACTTACCCTTTCACGTTGAGTCATTTAGACCCTGTCATCGTCGCCTTCTGTAAGAGGTATGACATGACCCTCGGTCAAATCCATCATTCCTTCTAGAGAATAGTGATTCTCCTCCGATTCTTTCTGAGCAACATCGAGGGATGTCCTTTCACTCTCGACCATATTATGCGCTTTTACAATCCCCGTCTCTATCAAGGAGGGATGATTAAGCTTGGTCGCCGGGTCGTCAAGGTCCCGTTCTTGAGCATAGATGAGTCTCGTGGCCAAGGTTGGATGGGCCGATTTGTCCGAATAAGGACTTCAGACCTGATCCTTGCTGAAGACATGCCATTTTCGGAGAAATGGAACATGAATCTTGAGTAGTAATTTGTCTCTCTAATTTTGTTGTTTTACCTCTTATCTTCTTTTCTCATCTGTATTTTTTGGTGTTGCAACTATGACCCAAGCGCCGGAGGTAATCCCCGATCTCAAGCAATGGGTCGAGAGCCTAGTATCGCAGAGACTTTGCTATGGAATTGTCAAAGGGTCGATGGGAGGCCCAAAATCATGGTAAGATTTTTTCTTAGAGTGGTTATCATTCGGGCTATCTTTAGGACTTACTCGTCTTTTTTACTTAGCACACCTCGGGAAGGATGTGGAAATAAGTCCCCCATATGAAGAGGAAATCCTTTCACAACCACCTGCTCCGAAGCAGGCCAAAGAGAATAAAAGGAAAGGGGATCCGAGTTCCCCGAACTCGGGTAAGCAAAAACCAAATAAAAGGCAAGCCCGTAAACCCAAGGGGAGCACCATCGCTCTATCTTTGGACTCAGTCCGTCGGCTAAGGAACGAGCCCTAAAATGAAGAAAAAGAGGAATCAAATTTGGTAGCCCATGCGCGGGCTGGTGTTTCGATACAAAAGTCCTCCGTATCGGAGGAAGTTAACGAGGGAGCTTCGGCCGAGGTTCCCGAACCAGAAAGAGTTGAGGCCACTCCATCCCAGGCTGAGATGGTCGCGAAAGAGACCGGGGGAGAGGCTTCTCAAGTGGCAGACGATGTTCTAAGGGATGAGCTTGGTGTGATCATATTTTTGGGTCCTATCAGTTTTCGGATGCCGCGACCCGTGAGGCTAATATGTTGGAAGGTCGCTCTTGCGAGGGTCCTCAGGGAACGGTTGACATCCATGGCTTCTTGCATAGGGTTGAGTTTGATGCTTTGGGAGATGTTATCGAGCTTGGCGACTTACCGATGCCGAAGAAAACATCATCCCCAGGCGCTACTGGGTCTTCCTCGAGCCCAAAACTGGTGGACTGATTCCCGGCTCTAAGTGTTAACCCCGACAGCAGGCGGAATATAGTGTTTTCTGTATCGGAGGATGACCGGGTCTTCTTTCCCCCCTGTGGGGATTGCCATCTATCTGAGGTGCTTGGTGACCGAGGAAGACCAAGTTGTGATGAATACGGTGAGAGCCGCTTGTCTGTTCAACGAGGACCAACATGCTCTGAACTGGGTAATTCCGAGGGTCATTCCATTATCACTTTTAAACTTGGAATTGTAGGTAATTCTAGCATCTTCCTCCTTGTTTGTAGGCTTCGGTGTTGCATCACGAGGCCTTCCTTCGAATTCGTGAGGAGCGCAAGGCCGAGGTTCGGGACCTCACTGAGAAAAATGATACCTACAAGCTTCTTAGTGAGAAGCTTCAGGCAGATTTAGTGATGGCTTAGGATGAGAAAGTTGAGATGGCCGAATAGGCATTCCGAGTGCTTCACGATAGTTAAGACAACTCGGAGATAACGACTAACGATCCGATTCTGCAGGTTCGACAGAGGCTCGAACAGATTGGGGATCTTCAGGAACAAACAGATGCAATTCGAGCCGAGGCTGAAGAGTTCAAGAAGAATATAGATATCTTAGCCTAAAAAAGGAGGCCGTCCAAGCATAGTTTGAGTCGGCCGCGTCCCAGCTCCGGGTTGCAAGAGAGAGAACCTCGGTTCAAGCAAAGAAAATCGAGGAGCTTCAGTTCCGGTTAGCTAACTTGGCTAATGAGCTCGAGGTAGCCAAATCTGAGGTGGCCGCGGCCAACACTAAAGCCAATGCTACTGCGACCCAGTATAAGGTCGATGTTGGGGCCATCCAGGCGCTGTACAAAATCATGGTGGATCATGCAAAGTGGCAAGCTCGAAAGGACGCCCTCGAGGAAGTCCATGCTCAGGGCTTCGATATACAGGCTGCACTCGAGAACGCCAAAGTAGAGGAAGCCACGGCTCGAAAGCTAGCCTTTCCTGAGGAAGACTCAGATAGTTTAAGTGAGTCTGAAGGCGGGGAAGATCTCGAGGATGCAGATGCTGCCTATGATGAAGACTTGTCCACTTAGGCCTTTAGTTTTTTTTATTTTTCTTTTGCATCCTTTTGAGGCCATTTCGACCGTTGTAGATTTTGTATTAGGCCGATTTAGCCTTTGTTACAAGCTATTGTATATAAATATAAGGCTTTTCTTTCCCTTCGACTCTCAAATTTTTTCCTTTGCTTTATCATTTGTATTCATATAGTTTGGAATGCCTTAGCATGAAACAATAAGGTTATGTTTGAGGGTTCGAACAAACCTTGCCTTTATTGCCTTTATAGGTTAAGGCGTTATCGTGGTTCGATGTTACCAAAGTTTTCTCCCAAAAATATCTTAAATTTTAGATTCTGTCGAGGGTAGCCTTTAGAATTGGTTGTGAAAGAATTTTCTTTTTTCTTTTTCGAAGGCCTATTCTTGTTACAGATTTCGGTCGTCTCCGAACCGTGTTAAATTGGCCGTAGCCTTTTAGTTAGGGCGTAGTCTAGTGAGCTGCTTTCCCGAATTATTCAGGCATGCCTAAGATAACAGTCCCCGAGTGGGTATGGCCGTGGCCTTTAAAATTCGGGGGTTGCCTAAGAGATCCTATGCCCCCGACGCTCAATAGTTCAATCTGTTCGAGTTTATTTTTCGGACGCTAGTCCCCGAGTGTGGGAGTGATTATCCGAACTCTGGTTATAATCGGTTCTTGAGCTCGTTTCCATAATAGATCAAAAGTACAGAATTGTAAAGTAGAAAACTTTTTTTCCTAAGGCATGAGATAATTGCAAGGAAAAATACTTCTCTTTATTCTTGTGAAAAATGATTACACATGCGTACATGTTTTGTGCCAGGGCTCGAGCAACCTATGTGGGCACGGCTCGTTTGACCGTTTGGCCCTTACAACAAATCTCATCTATCGAGACCCCACTATTATGAAGTAATTTCCTCACAACAAAGTTGACACCCAAGGGCAGTGCCCCCTAGTATTCGAGGTTGATTGTAGAGGAACCTCAGATACTGTTAGTATTGTCTTTGACACCGATTCGTGATCGACCTTACGATCCACTGTTGCCTCATTAAAACCTCACCGGAGAACCTAATTGGGACAAAATCGGTTCAAGGGAAAAAGATTGCAACGCGTGCTTTCACACCTAAAGGCTTTGTGCTGCTCCTTGTCGATAACCTGCAAGTGTTAGTCAAAAAATAGAAAGAATTGAGATGGGGTCATACCTTAGCAGTAATATCGTTTAAGATGAGTTACGTTCCATTTGTTTGGTAGTTGTTCTCCGTCCATCATTCCGAGCTTATAGGACCCTTTCCCTATGATCTCGAGAATCTGGTACAGCCCTTCCCAGTTCGGACCCAATTTCCCTTCGTTTGGATTTTGGGTGTTTAATGTGACCTTTCTCAGCAGAAAGTCCCTGAAATTAAAATATATAAGGTTGGCCCTTCGATTATAATACCTTTCGATCTGTTGCTTTTGGGCAGCCAATCGAACAAAGGCGGCTTCACGTCGTTCATCCAATAGCTCCTGGCTTGTATTCATGGCCTCGTCATTCGATTCCTTCATCGCATATAAAAATCTGATGCTCGACTCCCCGACTTCGACCAGTATTAATGCTTTGGCGCCATAAACTAATGAGAACGGGGTGGCCCCGGTACTGGACTTCGAAGTTGTGTGATACGCCTAGAGAACTTCGGGCAAGATCTCTCTCCATTTTCCCTTGGCGTCAGTCAACCTTTTCTTGAGGTTTTGGATTATGGTTTTGTTGGTCGATTCGGCTTGTCCATTCCCCCTAGGGTGATAAAGTGTTGATAAGATCCTTTTGATCTTATGGTCTTCGAGAAATTTGGTCACCTTGCTGCCGATAAACTGTTTTCCGTTGTCACATGCAATTTCGGATGGTATTCTGAATCGACATATAATGTGGTCCCAAATGAAGTCGATGACTTCTTTTTCCCTGATCTTCTGGTAGGCCTATGCTTCAACCCACTTAGAGAAATAGTCAGTCATAAACAAAACAAATTGTTCCTTACCTGGTGCCGATGGAAGAGGGTCGACGATGTCTATCCCCCACTTCATGAACGACCACGACGATAAAACCGAATGCAATAGCTCCCTGGGTTGATGAATCATCGGAGCCTTCCTTTGATATTTTTTATTTTTTTGCACAAACTCCTTCGCATCTTTTTCCGTATCGATCCAGTAATAGCCGGCTTTGATTACCTTTCGAACCAATTATTCGGCGCCTGAGTGGTTCCTGCATGTGCCTTCATGGACTTCCCTCAAAATGTACTCAGTATCTCCCGATCCCAGACATATTTCTAGTGGACCGTTGAACGTTCTCCTGAGTAAGATTCTATCTTTGGACTGACTAAACTGGGCTGTCTTTGTGCACAGGGCCCTCGATTCCTTTAGATCTGAGGGAAGTTTTTCGGTCTTCAAATACTTTATGTATTTATTTCTCCAATCCAAAGTCAAGCTTGTGGAGTTTATTTCGGCATGACCTTCTGTAGACATTTAATTTTTGACCCTCCCTAAGATTTTACACATTTTAGCGTAAAATATTTAGTTTAGGGCTAATATCGCTATTTCAATTATTTTATTTTATTTTATAACAAAAATGAAAATTACAAAAATATTTTAGCTAGTTACTTTTAGTTTATGTACCTTTCATAAAATTAAAAAAAATGCAAAAAATAGTACCTTATTTTTATCTTTATATAATCTTGAAAATACAAAAAATAGTTTCATGTTTCAATATAGTTTAGTTTAATTAATTAGAATTAGTTTTTGCATTGTGTAGTATTTTTATCTTATATTAAAGGGAGCTAACTAAGGTGTTGGACCACAATATTAAGAGTCTCGGGGCCCAATTTTAGGACCCAATTCGAATCCCTTAGCCCATTAACCCAAGCCCACTAATCATATACCTAAAACCCCTTTATATCACATAAGACACAACCTAAAAAACCCTAGTCTTAAGGGATCAGCCGTTTTTTATGATTTGACTAACCTAGACACAAAATAAAAAAAAGGACCCCTGACTTTCTTCTTCAATACATCAAAAGAAAAAACCCTAGGAACACCATCTCAAACCAGCCGCAGAACCAGGAGATCCCCCCCCCCCCACGTCGTTCTTCTTCAACAAAAGAACACCCATCAGCACCTTCTCTCCTTCATCTTCAGAAGACTGTTCGAACACCCCTGTGAACACACAACGTTTTTGGACCTTCTTCTCCATCAAGACCAAACCAACATACCCCTGCTTCTTCATTTTCGATTCCAATTCCAACAGAACACATATACAACAGCCTTCACATGTTCTTGAGCATCAAGAGAGAACCGGCAACAACGCTTCTTCAAAGAAAGCTTTAGCGTTTCCGTTTTCGGCTCGAATTCTTCTGTCTTCTTTAACATTTTTGTGAAATAAATTTCACACAAATGATTGGGGTAATTAAGGTTTGAGTTTCAGAAAAGTAAAATATACAAGAACACTTTTGTTTCTTCTCTTCAATTCTGGACCTTTGGTTTTTTTTTGAGTTTGTTTGAGGCCGATTCAATTCGCCATCTGAGGTTCGGCTTCGTCGTTCCGGTTGGAGTGTGTTTCATTTTGCTATTTGGGTGTGATTATGAGCACTGGCTTATAGTAATGGATAAACCTGGAGGTGAAGGTGCTACTAAACAGCAGATGATTGATTGTTACATACAAACTTTGGCTAAAGCTGTTGTAAGTGAAAAAGAGGCCAAGAAGAGGATATACAATGTTTCGTGCAAAAGATACTTCGATTTTGGATATGAGATTGATGAAGAGACATCGAATAATCTCAAAGGTTTGCCTGGTGTTCTCTTTGTCCTACCAGATTCATATGTCGATCCAGAAAACAAGGATTATGGAGCTTTAGGTTGGCCTTGCAATAATATTTGTGGAAATGAAGTATCGCTGGTGATTCAGATATGCTTGGCATTAGGTTTGCTGTTGCTGTGCATCGATGGCTGGAAATGTGCAGCAAGTCTTCATTGTAAATTCCTTTTTATCTTCTTCTAGTTTTCATTCTTTTATGCGTTAGACTACATTATGGGTCAATGTAGAAAAGGAGAGTTAGGAAAATAAACAATTGATGAACAACGTAGCTTGCTTTAGGCGCAATTTAATATATCATCGTGATTGTGTACACGTTCGCGTGACATAATTACGATCCTATAAACAAAATCGGGTTATGCGTTCTCGCAACTTCGAACAAACTTTCTTAATATTAATAAAGCATGATTAATTGTGGACACGTACGCATGACATGATTTTTTGACGCGCCAAATGAAATGAGTACACGTACGCCTGGCTCGTTTTAGGATAAAATGTACATAGGTTCTAAAATAAGTAATTAGATAATTTAATTGAGCCAAGTATGATTAAAGCACCGTGCAAAAACCACGGAACTCGGAAATGCCTAACACCTTCTCTCGGGTTAACAAAATTCCTTACCCGGGTTTTTGTGTTTCGCGGATTGAAAAACAGAGTTAAACTTCCTCGATTCGGGATTTTAAACCGGTGACTTGGGACACCATAAATTATCCCAAGTGGCGACTCTGAATTTTAATAAATAATCCTGTTTCGATTATCGTCGCTTTAATTGGAAAAACTCCCTTACGCCCCTTTCGGGTAAAAGAGGAGGTGTGACAGCTCTGGCGACTTTGCTGGGGAACAAGAACCCAGAGTCTCTGGTTCAGGGTTCAAGAATTCAAGCTTTTAATATGATTTTACTTGGATTTGTTTATTGTTAATATTACTGGGTTTTGTGAACCTAATGTGCTAATTGCTGTTTATTTACCATTTCGATATTATTTGAATTGTATTAAAATGCCTTCTTACGCCAGCCTTCTGAGTCTTCTAAAATATGGTGCACACGTACGCGTGACCCACTTTCTGTTAGAAGTCATACCAATTAGAACGAGGCTTGGGTCAGAAATAAGGCCGGGTAAACTTTCGTGCTCCCGGTACGTTGCCCCCACCTCGGCTCGAGCTGTCCGCTCGGGTAAGCCAGGTCTAGAA